AAGAAGCTTCTTTGATGAGTGGTGAGATGTACACTTGTCAGGCTAATCAAGAGCTCTCTGCTAACATGAACCAACCAGGTTCATGCTGATTCAGGTTCTCAGCACACAGGCAGAATAAAGCCATATTCTCAGCCAAAATCACATGAATAATCCCTAATCAATTCCTGAGAGAGTCCTTTTCTGCCTCTGAAACCTCATGGGTTGGCCTCCACAATCTGTTTCTCTCATCGTTATCTTCCAAACTCCCACCTGAATGACCCACTGAGCTCTGCTTCCAGCATTCTAGGGCTTTTCTGGCTCAAAGCACCACGTGGGGCCTCAGACCCACAGGCAATGGCCCCACCCACTTCTTACTATCAATTTTTTTCTCTTAATTACTTTTCTATTGATGTAATTAAATACCCTGAAAAAAGCAACTCAGGATGAATTTATTTGTTGCACTAAATCTGTAATTAGTTGAGATAGTATGGACATCTTAACAATAGTAAGTCTTCTAGTTCATGAACATGAGATAGGTTTTGACTCATGACTTTAATTTCACTTTAGCAACATTTTATAGAATGTATCCTACACCAGTGATTGAACTAAAGGTCTTGAGTATGCTGGAGAAATGATTTATCACTGAGAGAAATCCCCAGCCCTGATTTGTACTTTCTAATTCACAAGTCTTTCATTTCTTTGGTTAATTGTATTTTTTTTGATACTATAAATAGAACTGTTTTTATAATTTCCTTTTAAAGTTGTTCACTATTATTGCATAAAAATAGAACTGATGTGTGTTCAGTTTGTATACTGCTACAATGATGAATTCATTTTATTATTGCTTAATCCAGCTAGCTAGTGGTTTGCCAGTTTCTTGCTTTTTCCAAAGAAGCAATTCATGGTTTTACTGGTTTTTCTCTTCTATTCTTTTGTTCCTAATTTTAGTGCCTCTCTTATCTTTATTATTTATATTTTCTGCTAACTTTAGGTTTACTTTTCTTCATTTCTTAAGTTGCAAAGTTATGCTGTTGATTTTTAAATATTTTTTTGCAATTTTGGGGATTTTTTTTTAAAGACAGGGTCTTACTATATAGACTTGACTGACCTGGAACTTTCTCTCTAGACCAAATTGGCCTTGAACCTGCAGTGTATCCTCCTGCCTCTGCCTGCCTAATGCTGAAATTACAAGTGAGATGCCATACCTGGCTTCTTTCTTTTTTTTAACATAACATTTATAGCTGTAAAATTTTGTAAGTTTTGGTATGTTGCGGTTTCAGTTTCATTTGTCTCTGTTTTATAATTTGTCTTGTAATTTCTCCTTTGATCCATTGGTTTTTAAAAATTATTTATATTTATTATTTTATGTGTATGAGTGTTATACCTGCATGTATAGTACACCTGTGTCTTGCAATACCTGCAGAGGCCAGAAGAGGGTTTCTGATCCCCTGAAACTGGAGTTACAGACAGTTGTTAGCTGCCATGTGGATGCTGGGGATTGAGCCTGGATCCTCTGGAAGAGCAGCCAGTGTTCTTAACTGCCAAACCATCTCTCCAACCCCAATCCATTGGTTATTTATGACTATATTAATTTCTACAAATTTGTGAGTTTTCCATGCTTTACTTCTGTTAGTGATTTCCAGCTTCATCTTGTGGTAGGAGAAGACAATTTGTATACTATATATCTTTTTTCATTTGTTGATATTTAATTTGTGGTGTAGAATGTGGTCCATGATGGAAAATACCCTATGTGCACTTGAGAATGATATGTATGCTGCTCTTGTTGGATAGTATCCTAACATGTCTCTCAGATATAGTTGGTTTGTTGTGTTCCAGACCTCTCTTTCCTTCCTTATCTCCATCTGGTTGTTCTCTCCATTATTGAGTCAGGAGTTGAAATCCCCAACTATTATTATAGAACCGTTCATTTTTCTATTCAATTCCTTTGCGTTCTGTGTCATATGTTTTGAAGGGTCTATTATTAGATTAATCATTGTTGTATCTTCTTCTTCCTGCACTGAACCCTTTATTAATATATAATGTCCTTCCTTGTCTCTTGTAGATTTTTTCATTTAAAGTTAAGTTCATATGATATTCAAGTGGCTATTTCTACTCTTTTTTTTTTTCCTTTTGAGACAGGGTCTCATTTTGTGACCTTGACTGGGCTGGAACTCACTTGTGGACCAGGCTGGTCTCAAACTCAGAAAGAGTCACCTGCCTCTGCCTCTGAAGTCCTGGGATTAAAGTATGTGCCACCTGCTCTTTTTGATGACTTGTTTGCACATAATACTATTTTCTGTCCTTTGATTTTCAACCTGTTTCTTTTGATCTATGATGAGTCCTGTATAGACAGGACATGACTGGGTCCTGTTTCATCTATTCTACTAATCTCTAGATTTTGACCGGAGCATTTCATCTACTTACATTTAAAGCGATAACTGCTAAGGAGGGATGCTCTTCCTTTTACTATTTGTTTGTTCTTCATTTCCTGTATTGCTTTCTTCATTTGTGTTTGATTAATTTTTGTAGTGAAATATTTAGATCAATTTCTTATTTTACAGCTATGAACTTTGTTAATTACCATGGGAATTACATTTAACACTCTAATTTGAATTTATAGTATCTTATCTTCCATAACATACAAAAACTTCCTTTAACAGCTGTTGCCAAGAGTTTGTTTATTTATTTGTTTGATTGTTTGTTTGTTTATTGTGGATCCTGGAACTTGGGTTATCAGGATTGGCTACAGGCACCTTTAGTGACTGAGCCTTTTGATTTTTGATGTCATCAAAGTATGCTTTTATAAATTTTGTGCCCATAAACAGAAACTAACAATTCTCTTAAATTATACTGAAAGAAAAACGCTACAAGTAAAAATTGTATTAGTACTAATTGTTGTAATTTCCCACGTAGTTACCTCTATTAAATTTTTATTTCTTCATGAAGTTTTGAGTTACTGTTTAACGTTCTTTAATTTTACTCTCAAGAGTTCTCTTGAGCATTCCTTATAAGGCAGGGTTTATGACAACAAAATCCCTTAGCTTTCATTTAGTTAGAAACTTCTCTCTTACTTTTAAAGGACTTTATACTAGATTCTTGATTGACAATTTTTGTTTAGTTGGCTGGGATTTTTTTTAAAATACTTCAAACATACTGAGCTCCTGCCCTCTGTTCTCCAAAGTTTCTGATGATAAAGCTGCTAATGGATCCTTGTATGTGATGATCTTTCTTAGGCTGCTTTCAGATTCTTTCTTGGTTTTGTCTTGATTTACTCTCCAGAGTTCATCATGCTTGGGGTTTGTTGAACCTCTTGGATGTTTATAGTTAAGATTATCATTACATTTTTGAAATTTTCAGCCATTTTTTCCATCCTCTCTATTCGTCTTTCCTTTTGATCCAGAGTGACTATTCCCCCTACAATGCCTGTATTGGTTGATGTGATGAGTAATCTTCATTGTCAACTTGACTGTATTTAGAATCACCATGGAAACACACCTAGGAAGATCTATGAAGGCATTTCCAGAAAGGTTTAATGAGCAGGGGAAGAGCTGCCCTGAATGTAAGCAGCACCATTCCATGCCCTTAACTGAGTGAAAAGAAGAAAGAGCTGAGCACCAGCATCCGACTCTCAGCACTTCTCACCGTGAGTGCAGTGTCACCAGCTGCCATGCCTTGCCTGCTATAATGGGCTGTATCTCTGCAAACTGTGAAGCCCAATAAACCCTTCCTCCTATAAGATGATTTTGCCAGGTATTTTGTCGCAGCAACAAGTAACTAATACAGTTGACTTGATGCCGTCCCACAGATCCCTTAAGCACTGTTTCATTTCATGCCTGTGTGTGTGTACTCATATGTATGCGAGTTCGTGTGTGTGTGTGTGTGTGTGTGTGTGTGGTGTGTGTAGAGGTCAGAGAATAACTTTGGGTATCACTCCTCAGAAGCCACTCACCTTTTTTTCTTAAGACAGGATATTCATTAGCCTGGGGCTTCCCCACTTAGAGTAGACTGGTTGGTCAGAAATCTCCAAGGATCTGCCTGCCTCCACCACCTCAACATTAGAGTTATAAGCAAATGAAACTGGGCCCCACTTTTTATGTGGGCTCTAGGGATTGAACTCAGGTCTCTATGCTTGCAAAGCAGTTTACCAGCTACATCATTTCTCCAACTTTCTTCCATCTTTTTACTTCCTGCTCTTCAAATTCGGTAACTTTTATTGCCCCATCTTCAAATTCAGTGGTTCTTCTACCTGCTTGACTGTGTCCCTGAATCCTTGTAGCAAATTTTAAATTTTAGTTATATTTTCAGTTCTAGAAGTTATTTTTGGTTTCTTTTTTAAAATTCTCTTTGTTGCTATTTCCATTTTATTCATACATAATTTTTTTTTTTACCTTCCCTGACTCTTCCTTTGGTTGAGCATTTTAAAGACAGCTATTTAGGACTTTGTCTACTAGATCAGTCTGGTAAGTCTGTCATCAGGTATTTTTCAGAGACAGTTTCTGTTGGCCTTTTTTCTCTTTTGAATGAGCCATACTACCTTATTTCACTGTGTGCTTTGTGATTTTCCTGTTGAAAACTGGACATTCAAATCTAATAATGTTAGAACTCTGGAAATGAGATTTTCCTCCTTCCCCAGGGTTTGCTGAGTTTTAATTTTTAAATTTATTTTTATTTTATGTCTATAAATGTTTTGCCTACATGTATGTAAGTGCATCATGTGCATGGAATGCCAATGGAAATCAGAAGAAGCCATCCAATTCCCTGGAACTGGAGTTATAAATGGTTGTTAGTTGTCCTGTGGATACTGGGAACCAAACCCAGGTTCTGTGGATGAGTAACCAGTGTTCTTAACCACGCCATCTCTCCATCTCCAGGTTTGATGAGTTTTAAAAATTGTTGTTACTGTCTCTATGCCACTGATCAGCCTGAGCAGGTCTTCTAAAGTCTGTCCTGATCTTCTACCGTTCCCCAGATATACAGTAGTTTTTAAATGTCAGAGTTTCTCAGACCTGATTGCCCCAAAGGGAAAAAGATGAAAACAAAAGATGTGACACTACTGTTTAAATCCTCTGGCGACCACATCAGCATAGGAGATAACATCAACGGGGAAGGCACGATGCTAATGGTTACCACCTCTTAGTCTGTGCCTCTTTGATCAGAAATATCAATGAATGATCAGGACATAGATCTCAGATATTTAGAGAACAGAATTCTTACTGCTCAGCCTGGCTCCCACAAGACACGTACAAATTGAGTCAGGAGCCTGTCGCACCGCTCCCTGCTCAGGGCTGAAGGGGAGGGCGTTGTCCACTACTGTGCTAAAAGCTGAAATTGATGATATGAACTACATGTTACTGTCCAAATCTTCCCAGAGGAATCTGCAAGCCTTCGATAGACTTCGTAGTTCCAAACTAGTTACATCTGGCAGATTCTGTCATTACGTCTAGGTGGGGAAACAGTCCTAGTGTTCCCACTGTAACTTTTTCCCAGAATTCTCACAAGTTATTAGTTTCCTCCTGAACTGTGCAAAATGTAACACAGAGGTAGATCTTGGTTTTAACTAAGAAAAAGCATATTCAAACTATATGTGTATTTGTTTAGTAAAACTTACTAATAAACGTTTTTCTAAAGCATAATATAATGACTCATGTCCTAAAAGACATTTTCTATGTTTTATTAAAATGCCTTTCTTCATAGACTATATGATAACACTTAAAACGGTGAAAAGCACTCTGTGAAATTTGAAGTCAAATGCACATTGGCCAAGAGGGAATATTTCTTAATTCATCAGGATTAGATAATGTTGACTGTGCAAAGTTGAATCTGACTTTAGCACCAGATGTCTAGACCATTGGTCTCCAATCTAGTGGACTTGGAAAGAGATTGGAGACAGGAAAAAAACAGCATGTGAAGTTGACTGTTGAAAATCAGAGAAGGCTCTTATCCTTTGAATAGAGTCTTTAAAGTGGCAAGTAAGACACAAATGAAAAGGTCTTGTGTCCTAGCATATGCTCTTAAGTAGACCATTTAGACAACATCATTCTCATTCAAGTAACAGAACAGAAAGTCAGCAGATCTCAGAAAATGGTGTTTGTTCTTGATCAGTTAATGGAAGTGTGTGGCAACTGTGCTGTTGTTTCCCAGTGCAACACTGTTGAGAGGGACCTTGAAGATGTACTGTCAGCAGAGCTCTGCTCTCCTGAATTTAATCCATAATACTATTGTCATGTGAGTGGGTTGGTTATCAGAACTATGTTCTGTGTGAAAGGATGGCTTTAGCCAGTCTTCTCTCTCTTGCTCACATTCACACACTGATGCCTCCTTGACATGGATGTACGGGGAGAAGGCCCTTCTCCAGATGCAGTTTACTTTAGGTTTCCCAGCCTCCAGAATTATAACAATTAAATCTCGGTCTAAATAAATCTAGTTTCAGACATTCTGTTATATAAGCACAAACACGCTAGAACAGAAAGTGGTACTGAGAAATGTGGCAGCTCCATAGCAAATAAATAATTAGAAGACACATTTGTGAAGGGCTGACTACTGCTTTAGGGCTGGGTAATGGGTAGAGGCAGGAAGAATTTGGAGAATCAAGCTAGAAAAAGTCTAGATTATTAATAGAGTAGTAAGGATGATTGTGATCAGGGCTTAGAAGGCAAGAGCTACAGGCAAAGCCTATATCAACTTAGGGATTACTGTCATATGCCATGTCATGACATGTTGGTCAACAGTAGACTATATATATGACAGTAGCTCTGTAAGTTTACAAGCTTGAAGATGAGTATCAGCTAATGACATCACAGTTTCCATTAGGTTATAGTGTGTTGTGATGTTCATGTGTTTGTGGTGATGTTAATCTAAACAACCCATTGAAAAAGAAAGAAAGGAAAAAAAAAAACCCATTGCCTGACACCTGAACAGAAAGTACAGCACATGTGAATGTGTAGTACGAAATACCCGATAATGATAGAAAGTGACCAGGTTGCTGATTTCTGTGTTTATTTTTAGCAGTTTTTTGAGTATGTTCCTACTTATTAAAAATTATCTTATTGTCAAGGAGCATGCTGTGTTATGCTGGCAACAACTTCATACATCTTGTCTTATGGGTTTCTGGGCACTAGAGTCCAGTCAGGTACCATTTTACACCTCTTTCAGTGGCCAATGAGTAACTGACTCTAACATCTAGTTTCGTGTAAGTGCTCTCTGTGATGTTAACACATCGAAACTACATAACTACACACTTCTCCAAATGTATCTCCACTGTGAAGTAGCATGTGACTAGTGGTTGTGCTTAGAATGCAGAAATTTGGATGATAAGGGCCATTCTGGTGGGTTTCAAGGGAAATAAGAAAAAAGATATTGGAAACTGGAGTTGTTATGCAGCTGTGAATTGCTTGAACAAGCTTGTCTGCATGCTGGGACTTTGCAGAAGGCAGAGCTTACCGGAGTAGACTAAGATGTCTGACAGAGGAATATCTAAGCGGTAAGGAATTCAAGGTACTATATACAACTGCCTTTGGCCACATACAGTAAGGGAAGAAAACAAGTGATTTAAATGTAGAATGTATCACTAAAAGAAAAGCAGAATGAAAGGATTTAGAAAACAGTCTGGCTCTGTAAAAAAAAAAAAAAAAAGAAAAGAAAAAGAAAAAAAGTGGGTGCTTGAGAGAGAAGACAAAGGGTATATGTAGCCCAGCAACTGTTTGCTAAGAGATTAATGGATAGAAAGAAGACAATCTCTAATCTTCAAGTCAGTGAATGACCCTGAAGGTATTTCAGAGAATTTCCAGGCAAGCTAGGACTTTGAGAGTAAAGTTTCCAGAGCTGTACACACAGGACCTCAGCATTCACTGTCTTGCACCTCAGGATTCTGCTTCTGGAATTCTGACGCTGTGTCCCTCAGTCTCCCCAGCAATGTTTCTAGTTGGGGTGGGGGGTTCATATGCCTCTCCTCAGTGCTTAGGAAGGTACAAGCTATAAACTTTGGCAGTGTCTACTTGGTCCTAGCTTTACAGGTGTGCAGAGTATGTGTGCTGGTGCCTTGGTGGTCTCTACCTAGTCCTCAAGGGATGCCACTGACAGCCTTTAGACCCAGGCAGAAACCTGCCAGAGTGGTTTAGACACTGCGGAGAGTTCAACCACAATCATGTAACTCCAGCTTGGGAAGTCTACATGGAGGAGACTCTAATTTGTTCAAGCTGCTAGGTAGGGAAAGCCAAGTCATATGAGTGGGACTGCCTGCAACCTTGCAGACCCATCTACCACTGCTGTGTGTCCAGAATGTGAAGCATAGGGTCAAAAGAGATTATTTTGGAGTTTTAAGATTTAATTTTTTCTCCCTATGTTTTGGACTTACTGGTTAACCTTTGCTATTAGGATGAAAGTTTTCTATCTTATGCCTCGTAATTTGGAATTAGATAACATTTCATTTCACAGACTCATGGCTAGAAAGAAATTTGCCTCATGAGCGAATTATGTCCTGAATGAAACTGAACTTTGGATCTTCAAGTTAGAGAGAATGTAAATATTTTTCGTGAGTCAAGGACATGAATTTTGAGGACTGAGGCAGAATGCTATGGTTAGACTATGTATATCAAAGTTTATGCTTTGAAAACATACTCCCAGTGCAACAGTGCTGAGGGGGATTAGATAGTTATCTGAGAGGCGATTAGAGTACAAGAGTTCTACCTTCTTTCCCTCACCAAGTACATATGTGTGGTCTTTTACCCTTGGGCATTCTGCCATAGGATGATACCACAAGACTCACCAGATGCAAGCACTCTGAACTTGAACTTCCTAAGTTCTAGAACTAAAAGAAAGTGTCTTTGGGCCAGCAAAATGGCTCGGTGGATACAAATGCTTTGCCACCAAGCCTGACAACTTGAGTTTGAACCCCAGGACCCACATGGTGGAAGGAGAGAGAACCGGCTCCCTCAAGTTGTCCTCTGACTTTGATATTACTAGTTTGGGCTACTTTATAAGGAAAACAGATTTGTTTAGCTTATAATTTAGAGCCTGAAAGTCATGATGCTGGGTTTGTGACTTAAAAGCCCAACATTGGGCTGGACGTGGTGGTGCACACCTTTAATCCCAGCACTCAGGAGGCAGAGGCAGGCGGATCTCTGTGAGTTTGAGGCCAGCCTGGTCTACATAGCGATTTCCAGGTCAGCTGGGGCTACAGGGTGACCCTGTCTGAAAAAGACCAAAAAGCCCATGGTGGATGGCATTCACAGTGACAGGTGTGGGAGGGGGGAGGGAAAGAGAAAGGGAGGGGGAGAAGGAAAGAGAGAAAGCTTATGGTGCGATGGGAAGCCATGTAAAGGAGGAGGGACACCCTTCCTCTTTTTAAAACAACTCAATTTCAGGACAACTATCTAGAGTTCTATAAGAACTGCTTTTCCCTTCCTAGTGTCATTCCACCAATGACACTAGGCTTCTTTTTAAAAAAAATATTTTTTGAGACAGGGTCTCCCATAGCCCCAGCTGGCCTGGAACTCACTATGTAGACCAAGCTTGCCTCAGTCTCAGAGAGATTCACCTGCCTCTGCTTCCCAAGTGCTGAGATTAAAGGTGTGCACCACCGTGCCTGGCTAGGCTTCATTCCATAAGGTTCCACCACTTCTTGATAACACCACTCTAGGGACCAAGCTTCTGACACATGAACCCTTGTGGGACACATTCAAACCATACCCAAACTACAAGTTCTCAAAACTCTGGCTTTCATTGTTTAACTCTCATCAATAAAATGTACATGTAATACCTCCCCTGTGTAACACTTTGTTCTAAATTCACAGCAGCACAGATACATGAGTGTGCAAGTCTTATTTATCCCAGAGTCCTATGAGAATGCACAATATGCACAAAAAATCTGTAACAGTAGAGTGCTTGTGATGTTGTATGAAGTTGATGAACCCTTGCCATGAACGCTCAAGAGGAATCATCATTCAACACAGAGTTAATTGTGTAGTGTGTCCTGCTTAGTTTTTATTATCAACTTGACACTACCAAGAGTCACCTGGGAAGAGGGAATCTCAACTGAAGGATTTTCCAGATCAGATTGGCATTTGGCTATGTCTGGGGGGATTATTTTGATTGTGAATTGACATGGGAGGTCACAGCCCATCAATGTGTGGGACCAAG